ATTTATACGCCCATTTAAAGGTTTTTGTGTGTACCAGCCATGTTGAGCAATATAATGTTTGAGTAATGTACATGTATATAATATGGTTTTGATTTTCAATAGTCAAGATGAAGTCCTGATGTTGGCCTTCTTTATATAGAAACGTCCAAGTAATCCCTTTCTGTTAACATTGGTGGTTTGTATAGTTATTATGGTCATCAGGGTTTTGTTACTGTGATTTCTATTTGATCAAATTCATAGTGTAGAACTCTTAACAACTGAGTTTTATCCTTCAGGTGGTAATAGGATTTCAAGAGGAATTTTTTTGCATTCCTCCTTTTTTTGCTCATCTCACTTTTTCTTTCTTTATTTTGTTTTTCGTCTTTGCTGTGTGTGAGGGAGATGCTGTTTTGTTGGGTGTTGTTTATAGTTTTGAGTCTCATTTTTTAACCTAAATCATTTTTTATTTTTGTACAGTGATATCCCAATTCATGTCTGAATAGTTTATTATGTGACTGTTCCATTACATTCACTGTGTTGAGTATCAGATTTTAATTGATATTAACTTCTGAGCAAACCAACTTGCTTACATAAAATAATAAACTAAAAACCAACCTGGTAATGGGTATAACTACCGTATTATATTCTTACTTAATACGATCAGATTGCATTGTTACAACTTTGTTAATGATATTTTAGGCCATATACCAAATAATATCTGAAAAGCTTCAGTCAGCTTTGTAGATTTAGATTAGCTCCAAATCCATATACTATGCTAACAATGCAAGATAATCCTTATAATAGAAATAGGTATTTAAACATTCTAACCAATACTGGTCATCAGTTAATGAAAGTAACTTTAAACAAAGAGTATATTTCCTCATGAAACACATTAGGTTTGCTTCATATATTATTGTATATTGGATTTTTCCTGAAGAATTTCACAAACTCAGTCCTTCCTAACAACATCTTGTGACCAATGAAAGCCCATTAAAGGCTTTTCTATTGTAACTTTAGAATATCCAGACAGATAACTGATAAATGTCTTTGGCTGTGTCAAGAAAACCTTGCTAATTTCATAAACGAGTAACATTAGTATATCTATAAGTACAACTGATGTACAAAACTTTATTTTATATTTCTCACCAAGATTTGTTATGTATGAATATTCAAGTCCAAATAAATATGCAACTTTTGGGGTGAAAGTACCTCCCATAGGTTTCCTTGTATTTATTGGAAGACATGTTGACCAAATTGCACTAAATAATGTGTTGTCTAAAATAATTTAGTTAGTACATTATAAGATTTTACAGAATGTACATCAAAGTCTGATAAAACTGTAGTGTGTTTTTGTACAATATTTTCTTCATCAGCGTTAACTTTTTTACAGGATTTTTTTATTGGATATGTTATATTAAAGCGATTTCAGAGCCTCACCGCATCGTTACAGTCAGTGTCCATAGTTCCGGTTGTACTCTGTCTGATGACAGTTTTAGCATTTTATTTGGAATGTACAAATTAGAAAGCCCTGATTTGATGGTTCTTCAATTTAAAATTCAAGACCTTATCTGCAAGTAGAAATGTGCTTTATATAATTTATGATAATTATATGATTATAAAGTATTTTTGTGGTTTTAAATTTTTTTTAAGATTTGGTTTAGTTATTCTTGAAATTGAAATGTATGACAAAAATAACTAGCTACAATTTCAATGTGCGATGAAGTCCAGCAGGTGTTTGATGCAGCATATATCATGATAGCATTATAAAAATTAATTTTTTCAGCTTCTAATTGTGTTCATGTCATCCCTGAATCAATTTATCAAGTAACTTTGCAATTTTGAAGATTTGTGATTTTTCGGAAAAAAAAACAAAATTTAACATTTTATTTCATAATATTACCAAACTGTACACAGATTTTATGCTTAAAATGGACAAAATACATTTTTAGCTCAGACTCTGCCCTAGAATCTGCTTTAGGAGCTTGTAGTGATTCTCTTGATCACTTTGTCAAGTTTTTGTTTTGTTTTTGTCACCAAAATCTGTCAATCCTATGTTCAATGGATCTCAAAGTTTGGCCATTGGTTAGTGATATTAACATAGTAGTTTTAGGGATAGTGTTAAGCTTTGTGATTGCATAGTTGAATGTAATGTTTCAGTTAGGCCCACTTTTCATTTTCCAATATGGTTTTAAGATTATGAGGTCTAACTTTATGCCTTTGCTCTAAATTTGTTAAAATTCTAGACAAAAAAATTAGGTTTCAATTTTACAACTATTTTCTGTAGCAGTTTGAGTTTTGTAACCCTAATTACACCTCAGTATTTCAAGTTCATATGTTGTCATGATCTTGGTGTTCATATATTATCCCTATTGAAATTATTTTACATGGTAGCAGCTTAACAATTACACTAGAAACAATTTTTCAAAGAACAGATCATCTCTTTCCACCTTAAGAAATAAATTAAAACATTGGTTCTTAATAAGTAGAGAATTATAACTATACCAGTATTTTTAACACATCTTGTTTAAGTATACATGTAGGTAGAGCTGGGTGATTAGTGGAATTTGATTAATAGTCTGGCTTATTGATCATTTACATTTAACTTTTTATTTTCACATGAGACTCGGGTAGTTGGAATAATTAAAATAAGTAATAATTGGAAGCCCTAATTTTTATTAGTTGATTATTTGCATGATTTATGACACTAATCTTTTAAGCTGAACAACCTTGAATTAATCAAAAATTATAATGTGAAATCATAAGTGTAATATTTCAATTACTTGAATACTTGGTAATGTGATTGGTTCATTATTTTCATGACATATAATAATTTAACACTACTTTTGATCAATCAAATATTATATGATATGATAATCAATTATCTATAGGATTTATAGGGTAAAGGCCCGAGTTTTGGCTACTTTTGCTATATTCTGAAGACAAGTGGATGAGAGGACACAGATTTAAAATTCAGAAAAGGCAGGATAGACTCCAATTAAGACAGTATTATTTTTGTAGCAGGGAAATGTGCTTATGGAATGAGTTACCATCAGCAGTAGTGGAGTCTGGTACTATACAAAAAGTTAAAATGAAGAAATGATAATTTCATGAAAAACATAGGTTGAGTTTAAGTTTTTACTTCTTCTTAACAGTTGGTGTGCTAGTTTAGCAACGAAGGACCAAAATAGTCAGTTGTCCATAAGTTATAAGATTGTGAACAACTCAGAATAAAGAAATTAAATTTATTCTAATAAATGTGTGTATTTATAGGTATTGTTGTAACACGTTCTTTCATTAGATGGATTCTTTGTAATTATTTGGTGAAAATATAGCCAAGTCCAATCCATGTAACAATAACAAATTAATTTATTTCTTCTTTAATGTTTAATGCAAGCTACTGTCACATGTACAGAGTTCACAAATGACCTCTTTATTTTCATCAGAAATTTACTTGCTAATGGTACTATTACTTAGAAATAAACTTCTTCAGTTTCGTGGCTCATTGACTGAATAACTGAATATGCAAAATAACTAACACTCATATGAATACTTCACTAACTTCTTAGTTACTGGAAGACCTGATTGACACTCAGTGAACTGAAAACTGACTCAGTGCTTCATTGATTATCATACTTATAATACATCCTTGTTTCCAGATATTTTGCAGTTTGTTGATCGTGATCATTAACATTCATGAACATTCTTGGTATTCTATGAATATTCTTATGAACTTTATTTATCTAGTGCCATCATCATGTTAGTAGCTCCGTCAAGCAAAATTAAAATAATGAAAATATAGCTTAGAAGATCATATATGTACATGTTGATGTGTGACTTGTATAAAGCATTTCATCAAATGTAGTCCTAGAATTAACTACTCTGAGTCATGTTCTTCAAGTTATTTTATATAATTAAAGAAAATTGGTAAATGTTATGGCAGTTGAAAAAGATAACTGCCTAAATGTGTATAGGTCTGAAAAGACAAAAGAATACTTAAGATTAGAGAATTTTTTAGCATAATTACTTCATTAGTTCCACAAACCTAAAATTTAGAGCAGTAAAATTATTTCTGTGATTATTGTCATGGTTTATGAGTTAAACAATCACCAGAGTTGAATTCTTAATTAGTTACTTTTTTTTTTGTTACTAGATACTTATTAGTAGCAAGTTTAATAATGGTAATCTGCTGCCTTTTTCAGGGAAGTCTTAAGACAAATTGTATTTTTGTAATGGTTGTGGCTACAGTAACCTCACAGAACTCAATGATAAGCTCCAATGTATACATGCATCCTGGTTTCTATCATTCCAACCCTTGAAAACTTGGAAATGATAGAATTCTCAAGGAATGCATTCACCTAACAATCTCCATGATAAAAGAACTCGCAACCCTTTGTGTGAACACAGTTTACTTTAAACATAGAAGTTAAATACTATAAACAACAAGAAGACTTAGCCATAGGTTCACTCTTATTGCCACTACTCAATAACCTCTATCTGGAACACTTCAAAGATACCACCCTCAAAACAGCCTTTCTTAACACCATGGACTTGGCCCATTTGTAAAATGGCCGCATACCACAGACCAGATTCCAGGGTTCACACAACAACCAGCAATACAATTTACAATCGAGGAAGTCAAAGTCCCATTCATAGACTTTATGATTACTAAGATGCAACTCATATATCACATGAGTTCACAGCAAACTCACAGACAGTGATAAATACCTTGACTATAAATCAGACCATCCCAACAGTGTAATGATGATCATCATAGATTGCCTCATTTGTAATACAGAAGAAAAACATCAGTGAAACGCACCTCATCAATGGATATCCAGAACTTCACAGGACGTGTGTCTGAGTTTAATGTTATATATATATATATGCATATATTTTATTGTAAGTGTACATATTCATGTAAATAATAAAGATTGAAAGGCTCTTTTATAGTTGGGTTTAAGCTACAGAAGTACTATGTAACAAAGACAGTAATTGTTTTTTATTTGTAACTTTTTTTCAAGACCAGAAGTTTCACGTCAGGTTGCAGTCCAAGCTTTCTAAAGCTTTTATTAAACCATGGGAGGAGCTGTAAGTGCTGGTGAAGATAATGATGAACTGATTGACAACTTAGTAGGTGAACAGTATGTCAAGACACCCCTGATTGAGCACGTGTTTCGGGCTGTAGACCGGGGTGATTATTATGCTATAGGATGTAAAGAAAATGCTTATAAGGATTTAGCATGGAAACATGGGAACTTACATCTATCAGCACCCTGTATATACTCCAAGGTGATGGAATCCCTAAAACTTGAAAGTGGTCTATCATTTCTAAATCTGGGCAGTGGAACAGGATACCTGAGTACGATGGTTGGACTTATTCTTGGTAAGTACGTATTAAGTGCACATTTTAACAGCACCTGCTAGTAAATATATGACGTTTAAATCTACCGTAGGTGTTTTAATGCTGGTACAATCTGTAAAATGTCCAGCCAAAAATATTGCAGTTTAGCATGTGAAATATACACATAACTTGTGCTAACTGCCATTCACGTTAGTGACAGAAACATTTTGATTTTTGATGTAAAGAATTGAGAACTATTTCTTTACAGTTTACAAATGTTTTACCCTTATTTACCTTGTTATACATTACCTTTTCTGTGCATGTCAGTGCAATAAACATGATAATCATCAGGAAAACCACTACAATGATTTTTTTATGTAAGCAAATTAATACAAGTTGTTCTGAACCATAGTAATTTGTCCACATGAACAGAACACATGTAAATATTTATTTTGTCAACTGCATAATACATGTGCTTTTTACACCTAAGCGGAAAGATGCCCTGTGGTTTAATAGGTTAATTTGAACAACTTGAAGCTACATTTTAACTTCAAAAAGAGCACCTGTATACCATTGATCATACATTTCAGTTGTTAGTTTTTTTTTTTTTTTATTAATAACTTATCATTAAATGTATCATATACTGTTGGTGCTTGTTTGTATTATAGTTTAATACAGATAGAAGAGAAAGGACTAACAGAAAAATTAATGCAGGCTACTTACTGTATGTCACCAATTGCTAAAACAGCTATATAATAATGATCAAACATTACGGTATCATTAGTGAAGTGAACATGAATTTTATTTTTATCCTGAACATATTTTGTGGCTTTGTTTGTGATAAAAGATTTATTGATAATTTTCAAAATCTTTCGATGTTTTATTACTTAATACAGTACATGGCCAGTGCTGCAAGAACTGGGGGGAGTAGGTAGAGCCCCTTAAGTTCTGTAGATTTAGCAAGTGGAAACAACAGATATTACCTCAAGAAGAGGAATTCCTGTAGAGACCAAAAACAGCAATAAAATTTCCATTTGTCAAAATTTTCCCAAAAATGTAAATCGTATTGTATCATTAATTGCTCATGACATTACCCTTCATTTGAAAGTGATATTTACTGGCAGTTTTAGGTTCATTGAAGTATACATCTGAATTAAATAGCTACAGTAGAAAATGTAAACATTTAAACCTGAAATCATTTTGTTACCATTACCTTTACATGATTCTTTTTATTTTTCACATTTTAGGTATTTATCATGTATGAACTGGTTTTGGTGAAATTAAGTAAAAATACCATTTCACCTAAACTATTCTGTTGTGAAGCAGTTTTGAATTCTCGAAGCTCAATTCTATACATGGATCAGTGACTTTAATATTTTGTCACAACCCCAGATAAAATTGTTAAAAATGTAATATTATTGAATATTTGAGAACTTTATGCTTGTATGTTTATCAATGTTATTGTATTGTAGCTGTTTTGTTTGCTTTCACGTGCAAAGCTACACATTGGGCTATTTGTGCTCTGCTCACTGTGGATATCAAAACCTGATTTTTAATGTCATAAGCTCTCAGACATGCTACTGAAGAGTGTTTAGTAATTGAAGTAAAAATAAATCAAGTGAAAATTAAAACTTTTTTTTTTTATGTAAAATTTAAAAAGTGTGTATTTATTCAATTTATATACTTCAATATCAAGTTACTTTGGTTCAAGTGTTATAGGGAAAAATGTTTTTTTTTAGGTTACCTTTGGCGAAATAATAGGGTAATTAGTGTGTCAACAAAATTAAAGCAATTATTGAATCTTGAAAATTTCACACAAATATAAGATGATAAAAGCTAAAAGCAGATTACAAAAAAGTGCAAAGATGTCATCATTAATATTTTTAATCTATTTAAGCTGAAAAGAAAATGATTAAGTTCAAATTAATTGCTTGTAAACTTAATTTTTTTTATACTCATCTTCTTTTAGTGTGCTTCCAATGACAGTTTATCTCAAACACAAAACATTCGTTTTTACTAATATATGCAGTTGTATGTAGTTTGGTTATAAATGTCAACAACTTCACAGAATGGGGTCAGTCCTTTTGATTATTTATTTCATCATCACATATTTCTGGCATCCAGCTGTATATTTATATACTTAGCTCTAATTTCAAGGTGAATAGAGAATGTTGTGGTACTGTTGAAAATTCCATTATCTAATTAAAACATTTTTGAATGGTATCCAAATTTTTTATTGACATGCTGCTACTTTGCATGAGTAACCAAATAAGCTTTATTTTAATGTGAAAAGTTTGCTGAGGTTTATAATGTCTGAAAAGGAATCAATAGATGTTTACTTTAATTTCCAAAGTAATGAAAATGAAGTTTTTTTATTGTTTTTTTTCCTAGCCTAGAAAATATTTTTGAAACATTGAAACTCTGACTTTTGGTTAAAACTTGAATCTAAGACTCGTAGTTTTAACTGCTTATGAAGTACTTGGAGAATATATAAAATATATATCTATAAAGACTTCTTTTATTAACTCTAGTGCCAAAAAGTGGGAAATTAGAATAAAATGAGGTGAAATTTTTACAATTTCTATTTAGTGATATTAAAATTTTTAATGTATCCTATCTAGCATTTCCATTAAATTTTCAAATTTTTGAAACAGAAATTAATAAAACTTTTATGTATTTTGCCATTATTTTAACTTGTTTTCCTCTATCCAATCATTTTTTTCATAAGTATAATCACTACTGTATACTTAAACTATATATATATATATATATATCTTTATATGTAATTATAGAATTATTCTGAATTGGCAGACATAAGTATTTTGAAATGAAACTTTTTGTTAATAAAGATGAAAGATTCCATGGTAATGCATGTTTCTAATTGTTTGACCATCTTTTTTTGAGGCCCATATGGAACGAATCATGGAGTTGAACTTCATGAGGATGTGGTATCATATGCAAAAGATAAGCTTGAAGAGTTTAAACAGTCATCACCTGCATTGGATGAATTTGAGTTCTCTGAGCCCCAGTTTGTTGTAGGAAACTGCCTTCTACTTGACAACAGTGTTCGCCAGTATGACAGAGTCTATTGTGGTGCATCATGCCCCCAAGATCGCGAACTTTTTATGAAGAAATTATTGAAGGTTGGAGGAATTCTAGTTATGCCTCTAAATGATCAGGTACTAAAATTCTGTTAGGCAAGATATGCTTACACCAAGTTGGTATTCTTTTTGTAAATATGTAATGATTAAGTTTTATTAGAGTTACTAAACTTAATAGCTTTGTTGTAGGATATGAACATCAGTAGATGGCTGAATGCTCTGGATTCATGACCTAATTTCTCTAAACAGCATGATCTTGGAGGTTGTGTTCGTGTGGGAGGTACATTATGTAAAAGTGAGGGATATTTGCATGCTTTAATTTTAATTAAACATAGTTCAAAACTGACAGGCTTACCTCTGAAATAAGAAAAGCCAGAATACCCAGGATGAGATGGAGGAAGGAAATTCAGTTACAAGGACTACTGAGTTAACAAATTGTAGTTTTTTGTAGTAAGATGATAACAGCATACCTCAACAATTGAAAATGTGATCAAGCAGATCTGAAGGGAATTCAGAACCAGAGTAGGTTCAGTAGACTGGATTCAATGGGAAAATGAGTGAAGGAGACCAGACTCACATGAAACTAGACGGAGTGAGGACATTCAGAAAATGAATTCTTCTGAACTGGGTTCTTTACCCTTTAAATAATATATAAAAGAGGAGTCCAATTATACCTGTGGTATATCATATTCTTAGGTGTGGTCACAGGTATTGGCATAACAGATAGTCAGAGTCAGATCACAATGTACCTGTAGTGGAAGCTGGTAATATCTAACAAAGCCAGCAAAATCACGAAACATGTCCATGTCAATGGGCATCTAACTCAAAAACAGTGCAATGGTAACATGAAATCGGTTAAGAAAGATAAATATGAAGCTGTAAGGTGTTCCCCATCATATGGAGAATGGCCGTCTCATCTCCATTGTCTCGATTGCTACATAAGGATGTGCACACGAGGGTGGAAAGGGTAGCTGGCTATGCCTCAGCATCCTCTGTCCTCCTCCAGAGGGCACTGCACTCTTATGAAGCACCAGCATAGATGGTGAAATTCTGTCTAGGACATTCGTAGAAGTATATGTAACGTGCAAGAGTCAGGAATGTTTGCATCCATTTAAACATGGAGTCTCACCTCCTAGGTATTTCCGATTAGTTTGAAGAATTACAATTGGTGACAAATTTTATGAAGTTATTTGAAATTATCTAAATTCTGGCCTACAGAATATCCACTAAAAGGTACTCTGTGACCAGGAGGCCAAAAATGTCACCCAAGGCAAATTTGGGCGAGATGTAATTTGAAGCTCACTTTTAAGATATACGGGAACATCCCACTAAACAACATGGATCAGTTGCATACGTCATAAGCCATTTTGTTAATACATTTGAAGCAAAAACCAAACAGTGTGATACAATATAAGGTATAAACAACCTTACCCAAAACCTTCTGAAAAATTCAATGCATGCAAGATGATAACAAACAGCCCTGACAGAACATGAAAGGAGTCCTTCTGAATTAAAATCAGGTTCAGTCATGATAAGTAGCCTATCAGTGGTTACCTTCTCTTTCAGCCAAAGGCTTTATCAGGGTAGAAGTACAAGACTGAGAAATATCGAGGGCATATATAATAACATTTTCTGTCTGATGCTAATAATAAAAAATGTAAGGGGGAGAAATAAAAAAAATGTATTGTCAAGTCACATTTAGAACAATGGCCATGAATTCTGAGTTGTTGAAGATTTTAATCAAAGGCTTGACGACAATGAGAGCAATTCAACAAGGAAAGGCTTTTCGTATTTCAGAGATACGTCTGCCTGTTTTGAATTTTACATTTTTAAAATTATAATGTATTTCAAACAGTTAGTTAACTCTGAAACACATTTCCACCCACCTCCCTCCAACTGAGAGATATGCGGATTATAGCAAGAAAGTAGAGCTTATATACATCTTCCTGGCACTAACTAGCTCAATAAGTTACTGGAAGAGTGGAGAACTATGGGTAAGTTGAACATGCTCTGTTTTGTGTCAAGAACATTAAAATTTTTAGTCATATATTTGTTTGACAGCCTTCGAATGACTCAACAAGAAAAGTATCTGTTGAAATTAATTTTGATTCTAAAAAAAACACATAAAAATGCATTATTTGTACAAGCACCAGTTTAAACTACTCAAACAAATGAAATTATTTAGCTTGTGCATTTTAAATTTTCAACAGCACCAATCTTTTTTTTAGCATTTCTAATTGCCAGTATAGACAATTATGGTTTCTCTACATTCCATTTAAACCTTCTACTCACTTAAAACACGTATAGTGAACACATTCTGATTACTTAATTGCTCATGTTTAATGTGTGAATCAATGTGATAATAATATTGCTTACTTGTCTTTACAATGCTTCTCAGATATGTTTATTTTCTGTAAAAAGACACAAACTCGCTTTAGTGTTTCAAAATTAGAAGTTGCATATAATATGTTTGAGAGCTTTTAATACTTATTACTACTGCAACAACATTTTAAAAATTCTTTTAGAAAGGTTGCAGGTAAATTATAATGAACACTTGCTACTCGCCTTGCATCTACTTCAGACTACACATGTAAGATTATTCAATTTAACAATAACAACTTCCAGATATATAAACCATAATAGACCTTGACTTTAACAATAACAACTTCCAGATATATAAACCATTATAGACCTTGACTTTAACAAGATAGATAAACCATTATAGTTCAATCAATACAAAACTGAATAAAAACAGCTTATGTAAATACATAGGTAATAATTTACATGTAATTTAAGTCACTTACACATTAAGATAATATTTTGGTCAATTTAACAAGCAGGTTGTGAGCAACAAGGAAAACCTTGACTTTAACAATAACAACTTCCAGATATATAAACCATTATAGACCTTGACATATAAACCATTATAGAAATAACAACTTCCAGATATATAAACCATTATAGACCTTGACCTTAACAATAACGACTTCCAGATATATAAACCATTATAGACCTTGACTTTAACAATAACAACTTCCAGATATAGATATATAAACCATTATAAGGAAGCTGTTATTGTTAAAGTCAAGATACCTATATAGCTCAAGGTAAGCTTCAGAGTTTATAACACTAAAATTGCAGGTTCAATCTATTTGATGGACATATTTCTGGAATTATATTGTTTAACTTAGTGCTAAGACAAACAAATTGAAGTCAGGTATTGTTATTACACCCATTGCTTAGAAAGTTGAAGGATTGAGACCATGCTATTGCCACACCCAGAATCTTATGTTCATGCATGTTTCGTCTCAGTCATACGTGAACATAAGATTCTGGGTGTCATTGCCAACCCCAAACCCATTTTTCAGAGTTTAAAGACTGGGAGAAGGCATGCAAGAAACAACATATTCTGAGTCTTATTGCCACAATAATTTCCTTAAGAGTTTAAAGATTTGGATAAGACATACATGAACACAACATATCCTAAGTGTCATTCTCACACTAATTTCCTTAAGAGTTCAATGAATGGGAAAAGACACACGTGAATACAACATGCGGGCTGTTTTTGCTATGGCCATAATTTAGAAAGTTGAAAGACTTGGACAAGAAACTCGTGAATACAACACCCTAGGTGTGAAAAGTGTTATTACTTGCCCAACGTACATGGGTGCATGTTGGTTAACTTACGACTGTGTTTAGTGAGAAATGCCAATCCGTAGAGAAACGGATGCAATGTAAAATCATCTAATGAGTACTTGTAAACTTTGTATTAAAGTCCGTTAAGAGGTTACAGTATTTTTGTTTCCTTAACATGACACTATTGCTTATGGATATATTACAATTCAATCTAAGCAGCCTTAAACAGCAGGTTCTACATTTTGTTGCCTTCATAGGGTAATTTGGTGTTTGTAACAAGTCACATTTTGTTGCCTTCATAGGGTAATTTGGTGTTTGTAACAAGTCACATTTTGTTGCCTTCATAGGGTAATTTGGTGTTTGTAACAAGTCACATTTTGTTGCCTTCATAGGGTCATTTGTTTGTGACAAGTCACATTTTGTTGCCTTCATAGGGTCATTTGGTGTTTGAAACAAGTCACATTTTGTATGACTATCCCAGAGCCACTTGTAATTCCAAATTAAAAGTTTAAAGTACGTTTATCATCACCAGTGTTAATTGATAAAAAAATTTATGATTTTGTTTGATTTATGGGTCAGTTTTGAATATATGCCAAACTTCAGTTTAAACTATTTACATGCGTTATTGTTTTAGATGCCAAAAAATACTTATGAATTTTTCTTGGCCAAGATGAATAAAGACAATATGATCAATAACCTTTGTCAGAGAAAGCTCACAAAATTTTTTTAAAATGTTGAGGCTGTAGTTTATCAAAACTGTTGTGCTTTATAAATAGATAGAGCATTAGAAAAATGATGGTATGGTGTGCATCAAACAAATCCATGGGTATGATTCAGTAACTTAAATAAGGTAGAAAATTTGCTTATTTCCATAAAAAATTGTAAGTTCATTTAAACTATTAAAATAAAAAATAACTTATTTCCATCTAGGTTATCTTTGTTGAACTTCTTAACTCTTTATTAACTTTGTAATCTACCATGATTTATTATTTTCTAACTAATAAATGACCTGTGAAACATTTGCTGGAAATTATGCAAAAATTTGTACACACCTTGTTTTATTAACATGTTGTTGCCAGTTTTCAACTGTATCCAATTATCCAAACATGAAATCCACAAAAAATATCATCCCCATTTAAGGTCCAGCTGGAAAATTAGAAAGTCACTCAGGTTATTTTGAATGATATTTTCCATACTCGTACCAATTTTCATGTGGAATCTCAAAAATTTCCAAAACCTGAATTTGGGTTATTGTTTGGAATGTCTTCTTAAATGTTAATAAAGCTTTCAAGTAAATTGGTTCATTCAAACTTGAAGGCCCAAAAATCCCATAGCCAATTGTTTTAGGGCTGCCCTCACTGTTTTTTCTTTGTAATTTTTCTTTTCATCTATACTTTATGAGTGTCCCAAGCACATGCAGAATTTCAAGTTATGTTGTCAGAAATTTACTACGAATTCAAAAAATCAAATAAACATAGATACAGTTGAAAATGACATAAGTGCTCTTCATTTTTGTGATTATACATTAATTTGTAGTACTTTTCATTACTGAATTCCAATTACGTTTGTAGTTGTTACAGATTACAAGGACAGGTGTAAACAGTTGGGAAACCGAAAGCATCCTACCAGTGTCATTTGCTTCTCTTGTGATTCCATCTGCTGAAGATTCTTTGAATACAGTTAAATTGTGTAAGTAAATATACACGTGTAAGACAGAAAAAGAATATTTATTTTTGTTGGCTCATTTTAAGATATCAACGTATCCATTTTCTGGCCATTTTTGGGGCTTATCCAGTTTGAAGTATCAGAATCTGTGCCACTAATGTAAGTATGAAAATGTTAAATATTCCTTATTGATATTGAAAATAAAATGGTACTGTTTAAGTAAAATAGTGGCATAAATATGAATTCAGTGGTTTGGTTTAACATAATAACTAAAAAAACAAATACTTTAAGAAATCATAGTGTACACTTACTGAGTCTCATCAACCTGTAAAGGGTTATGTGTATAGAGCACGAGAAAATTGACTCAGTTACAAAAATTGTATAGCAGAGGATGGATGAAATAAATCCTGTACTTTCTCTTGGATCATTATTATTGGACCAGTGTTTGGACAATTTTAATTGTAGATTGTTTAAAGGTTTTGCTTTTTTCACTGCATAGCATATCCTGAAAGGAATATCTTCAATCATCATAAAGCGAACACCATTAATTTTGGTTACTTTACTGTGAGATAACAGGAATACTCTGTTACATAAGTCTCCTGTACACTTCACTTTTGGCCCTACAAAACAAAAAAGATTTAGAATTTAGTAAAAGTGTGTTTACAGTGGAAAATGCAGTGAAATAAAAATGCTACTCGGAACAATCAACACTCGTGCATCAGTTGTTTTATGGTCACCATAGATAAGCCAAAATGAAAATAAAACCTCTCCAAACCAGATGTCAGGTACTTTATACAGATGTTTAGTGAAAAGTAAAATATATGCTCCAGAAATGTTTTTGATTTACATCAAAAATAGTTGTTGCTCCTATTCAACAACTAGTTTATGTATCCTTTGATAGATTGTTTGGGCAGAGTATTCATGATGAAACTATGTTAAATGAATGACAACTGCCTGTTGTAGAAACAGAAGTGTAGAGGATGACATTTTGAACGTTTTCTGCCTTCAGGTGCAAGGTTCTTATTGTACTTGTTGATCTTCTTGATAGAGGCTGGTCCATAACAGCTCTTTAGATATTCTTTGATAGATTGTTTGGGCAGAGTATTCATGATGAAACTATGTTAAATGAATGACAACTGCCTGTTGTAGAAACAGAAGTGTAGAGGACGACATTTTGAAAGTTTTCTGCCTTTTGTCTTCAGGTGCAAGGTTCTTATTGTACTTGTTGATCTTCTTGATAGAGGCTGGTCCATAACAGCTCTTTAGATATTCTTTGATAGATTGGTTGGGCAAAGTATTCATGATAAAACTAAATTGAATGGATGGCAACTACCTGTTGTAGAAACACAACGACATTTAAAAAGTCTTCTGCCTTCAGTTTATGCTATAAGCCTGCTACATCATATGTAGCTTGATGTTTTTGAAGGTGTCAGTCTATTGATTTAAACTTTCTAAACGCATACCTGAATTACTTATTAAAATATTTGTAAACAAATGTATAAATTTGACTTATTAGTACTAATGATCTACTAGGAATCTTTGAGGAAAATAAACATTTTGGTTCCTAGTTATTAGAGAGGCTGTGCTCTAAAGCTTAAGATTTCTCATTTTCAGAAAACACATCATCAGCTGAAATATTTCAAAGATGTAGTAAACGAAGGGCTTTTGATGGTAATTATTGTACTGTGTTAAACCAAGTGTAAAGATTGTTAGTAAATAGGAACTCAAATCAATATTTGCACTTGTTCACAACCATAACTATATAATACATAAAAGTAAATAACATCAGTATTATGTTAATGTTGCAGTGCATCGAGGAACATGATATTTGAACGCTAACAAAAGAGTGACTTACACTACAGTAGAAACATCAAAAACTCATTACACAGAAGTTATGTTGGATAAGCTATATAACCATCTGTTTAATCGGTCGAGCACAGATCACACCAAACGTATGGCGAAGAAAATACTAAACTCGGATAGCTTCCTTTATGTTGTCAGTAAATTCTGTCTGACTGAGAAAATATGGCTTGAGTGATAAAAGAAAGGGTTATTAATATTTGTTCTGTTGAAGTATTCAGTAAAAATGCATAATATTTTTTGTTTGCTTGAAATCCAATCTCTACATCTAACATGTATTTGTATTGCAATTTTGTAAGTAAATCACTTTATATAGTGAGTGTAAACACATTGTCAATTTTTTTGATAACTTAATCAGTCAGTAATTATATTAAGTTTCTAATAAGTACCAACTCAAAGACAAATGGGTTAACAATGAAAATGTATGTAAATAATTTATTTTTATTTATAACAGTAGAATCTCAGCCTTTGATGCTTCAAAACCTTTGTCGCTCAACAATTCGAATAATTTTACGCAAAAATGTTGACACTGAAAACCCTAAGCTCAAAGAAAAAAAAAGAAGAAATCCAAAAAAGAAGAAGAGTAAGCGACGTGTACGGCGCATTGTCATACCAGTCTTCAATGAAAGTGATGACTATAGTGACCATGGCAGGTATACAGATAGAGAAGATAATGATTCATCAGAAAGATTAAACAGAACCCCTCATCAGGCTGCTAGTCATATATCAGCAGTGATCGAGCATGTAATGAATCGTGATACCGATCTCCTCGGGATCACTAACAACTATAGTAGAAATATGAGAGAAGATGAAAATGGAATTGATCATTCTGAAGATATTGGTCCTGAGCATAATCATGAATCATCACCTAGATTTGAAACAACTGAAATACAGGCGAATAATGGGAAGAAATTGAATCATCAGAATCAGTCGGATGTTTCTATTGATCCAAAAGGGAAAGACAGAAATGGCCAGAATGCATTACAGATAAGTGAAGAAGAAATGGATACATCGGACGATAGCACAGGTCTTCCTGATCCTGTTACATCTTTCAGCAAGAGTGATGATGATCAGTATCGAGAACCGGGTCAGAGTAATCAACTAGAGAGAAAGAGGAGCATGGATGACACGAGTGATGATCATCCTAGTGACTCTCCAACCTCTTCTCAGTCACGACGATCACAAACACAAAGAAATCGTCATAAGCGCCCCACAGCTGTAATATGGAAAAGAGTTGCCTTCAATGAATTGGTCAGTGATTCAGACAATGATGAAAGTACCAGAAAACTTGAAGATGAGGACATCAAAGAAGAAATTGTAGTTGAAGGCAGTTACACAACTTTCATGAAGGAAAAACTTAATAATCTCCCTTTACCCGGGTCTTTGAAGGTCTTCCTTAATTATAATCGAGAATTTTGAATCATAAAACTGGTTTTGTTTGGATGGTTATTTTGAGAATCATGTAATACATGCAAATAGGAAAGAGTCTTTCATATATATGGTTTATCTTTAACAAATATTTGTATTCTTTAAGATATTTTGAAACTATTTCATGGACAGTCTAAAAGGAAAAAAGCGTTTTAATATGTAACTTGGGTTTTAATGTTTGTCGCTAAGCTCCTAGTTTTATTGTTCAGTAAGAAATAACTGGGTAATCAGTGTTAATGTAACAAACAAAATCATTTCAAAATTCAATTAATTAAAAGCAATAATTTTATTAAGAAATTAAAAAGGTTAAATTCAGTTTTTGGTATACTGTGAACAAGATGCAGTAGGATAATGTTTACACACCAAATAATTGCTATTATATATTCATTATTGGTTAAAAAATACTGTAGGAGTTTGATTAGGCATGTGGTAAAATGTAATAAGAGGTATATGTACAGTGTATACAGTACCACTTTTTCTCTAAAAGTGTAGAGTAGCAGATATGTGTTTTTGTACATTAGAATTTATGTACTTTTACAAAATAATTAATTTCAATTTTGTACATGGAAACTTTCTTTAACTGCCCTTCAAGCTAGAAGTTTTCATTTAGAAAATATTCTGCCTAGTAATAAGTTTTTACTCAAATATATTGGATTGATTACATTTATTTTCTCAAAGCTAGGAAGTGACATTCTTGAAATGTTGGTATCAGATGTGTTAAATACATAAAGCTACAAAAAAAAAAGAAACACTTTAGTGAAACTGTTATAATTAATTTTCCAAATTCTGTGAACTAGGAGCTTAAGTTTTCTACAAAACAAGATTGTCAAGGGAAAATTTCATTTTCGGTTTACTGAGAGTTTAACATTTGGTTTAAATTTTTTATCCCCTGTTTAAGTTTTATGTAAACCAAGGTAATCAAAAGCAAGTGTTTGTGTTCAGTGTAGTAACTTTTTCAAGTATAATTCGTTCTTTTTTTGTTGTTGTTGTTGATCCTCTGTATGAATCTTGTGTACATAAGCTGATAGTGGTATTTTTTATATGTGTTGTCAATTACTGTATTAGCATGCCTATAGATATACAATAATATATGTACAATAATAATACATTGTAGTGTTTAGTTTTGCACAAGAACTGTAATCCTCCCTTGTTTCTACAATATTGCTTTCTTGAATTATGGATTGTTTTGAAAATTGAGACTTTAAAAGTCTGTACAACTTAGAAAGTGTGTATGTGTAAAATAAAGTTTATTAACTAAATTCAGTGATCTTCCAAGTGGTTTTAACTTTTTGGAAGAATGAATTTATCATCACCAGATATTTGTACATGCACTTACATCATTCAGGTTTTTTTTTGGTGTTATCCATCCTTAACATGACCATACATAACGAAAGCACAAAGGTAGTTTTCGTATTTGTAAGCTTTCATCCTTATCTACCATGCAATGGCAGCTTTAAACTTGGAACAAAAATGCATAATGTATATATACAAAGTTTTAGATGACCACTGCTACAATAGGACCCTTGCAGCAGTGAGGATACACCAATTTATTTTAACTAACATCAACTTGATATCTTTTTCTAGCCAGATTGTGCATGGCCTAATGTGTCAGATTGTGGGTTGAAACGAGACCCTTCAAGAATGTGCCCTGCACTTTGACACCAAGAGATATAACATTACTGTTAAACTATACGTATTAGTAATAACATATTCTATTCCTTTATGCGTGGACTGAACCTGTTGAAAAGGATTAACCTTACTGGTTACTCTCTGTGTATATGAACTAAAGCTAGCTTTCTTACAATATTGGATTAACTTTTTTCACAAACTTTTAAGTGAAATATAATGGTTACGGTTTAAACACCGAACTCTGTAAACTACTAAAAACCAGTAAGCTTAAACTTTTTTTTACAAAAATAATAAAAATACAATTTAACTTTAAATATAATGTATTCGTGTCTTTCGGTATTTCTTATACGGATATATTGGATCCCTTGTAGCTCGGTTAAAGTGTGAGGGCTTGTAACGCTAAAAATCTGCTTTTGATGCCGGCGGTGGGTAGATCACAAGTATCCCATTGTGGAACTTTGTGCTTAACAGAAAATCAGATATGTAGAGTCTGCTGAAATTTCGGTGCGAAAACCTTTCGCTTGTAAAAATAACTTTGTGGATATCATGTGCCATTTTACTCTTCTTTCAAAAGCATGACTACCCTTGTTGAGTAATGCCACTTCGAATTTCTTTTTATACAAAACGTGTGTGGTGGCTGCTCCTAATTTCAAATATACATTTCATTTGCATGAACAGATACGGATTGATAGTGAAACATATCTGAACCCCTTAACAAAGACGTTTGGACATTTCCATGATGTTAAGGGCAAAAGGCCAAATTTGGGTTATTTCGGAATGTGAACTCGATTTAAAACCCACATAGTTTGCTAGAGAGCTGGGCAGGATAAGTCATTGTTGACAACCCTGCTGAAGTTGATACCTATTTGACAGTACGGGCTCGGAGCAGGCGCTGGGTTATATGATCATGCGTACTGGTTCTATTTAATTAAATAATAATTGTTTTCAGACATTAATGTATATCTGAAATGTATTATATTTAAACAGTCCGAGGAATCGAGCTTAAATTACGTTTGTTTGTAGTTAAGTGCAAAGCTACACAATGAGCTATCTATGCTCTGCCCACCACAGGTATTGAAACCCGGTTTTTTAGTGTTATAAGCCTCAGGCTTACCGATGTGTCACTGAAGGGCCTTTAACTTATTTCCTCCGGGTAGTTAAAACTGCTAGTTCCTGCGGCCTTTTCTCGAATTGTCTGACAGTTCTACAACAATTGACATTCAATAACGTTCACCATCCACAAGAAAAATTATTTTATTGAAATTCTAGTTTAAAAATCGGCTATCATCACAGAGTAGATTTTATTGCAGTATTTCTTTGTAGTCGCAATTATCAATGAAAGTGCCTTGCTTTTCTGTTGCAACACTCATGCGATTTTCACTAAAGAAAAACAAATAATATTTTAAAGTTTATTTTTTGATTGTTTTATATTTGAAACTTACTCCTTTTGTTTGTAATTTTTATTGGTTAAATCTGAAACATGATTTTTATGGAAATTTCAATTGTTTTATTTATTGCTCAGCTATAAAAATACTGCCTAGTTATAAAAATATTACCCAGTTATGATCGATGCTGTAGTTTCCGAGATCCGAGTTTTGGACGTATACATAGCAAGCTTCATTATAATAAGATTCGCTGTACAACAGGAATATCAGCAGGATATATCATGAAATAATACTGAATTTAGCTAAAACTTGGTGAGTTTGAGCAAAGTAAGTACACGATGCGTATCGCACAAAGAAAACAATCTTTATTAATCGGCCCGCAGTGGCACAGCGGTATATCTGCGGAGTTACAACGCTAGAATCCGGGTTTAGATACCCGTGGTGGGCAGAGCACAGATAGCCCATTGTGTAGCTTTGTGCTCACTTACAAACTTTATTAATCAAAGACATGAGCACTGTATATCTACTTGCTTGTGGATGGTCGCCTTTCACTGGATTTGCGAGATGATTAGAATGGTGTCTTGGTTCGAGATATATTCCCGTTAACCAAGGCCGGAATGCCAGGTGGTTAGGGTGCTAGACTCGCAATCTGTGGGTCGCGGGTTTGAATCCCCGTCACACCAAACATGCTTGCCCTTTTAGCCGTGGGGGCGTTATAATGTGACGGTCAATCCCACTATTCATTGGTAAAAGAGTAGCCCAAGAGTTGGCGGTGGGTGGTGATGACTAGCTGCCTTCCCTCTAGTCTTACACTTCTAAATAGGGACGGCTAGCGCAGATAGCCCTCGTGTAGCTTTGCGCGAAATCCAAACAAACCGTTAACCAATTCATTCAAGATCAACTATCTGAATGTTTAAATCTAACATTTCTTACTTAATAGGAAGCGTCGAATTTACCTACAGCAACTAGCGTTACTACATATATATGGCTCTTCTCATTTAAACATGCGGAAGGCCATAACCTCGAGATACCATCTGGTCTACCATTGAGATACACTGGCTGTCAACTTTCTTTCATAACCTGCAGCATAACAGCCATTTATTATATGAGCATAACAGGTGTTATCTCCATAGGATAACAAAGGCAACTAGAATGAAACCATATTCACTATTTTCTTGACCACGTGGTATGCAAAGATTTCCAATTATAAGTTGGTTCTATTTAACATAACTTATCTGCGGACGTCTGTATGGGCGTCCGCGCGCGGGGGGCACTTCCCCTCTTCCGAAAAATGAGAAACATAATTCTTTCTTTATTCATCCAGCATGTGTATATGAATTTTTTATTCAGTTAACAATTTCACATTACTCCCCCTCCTGGAAAAAATTCTGCGGGCACCCATGGACGTCTGATACACTAAATCTTCAAATATAGTAAAACATTGACTTTTTCTCTCTCCCTGTCTCGTTAGTTTGAGTTCAAAAATTGAAGTATGTAGTTCTTATTACTATCCTGTGGTTTTGGTATCTTACTAAGTGGGGTTGTTCTATTCCTGTCAATCAATGTTTTATTTCAAGAAGTAATAGAAGAACAATAACAATAGTTATATTCCCATTTCGCAACAATTGTACCTCGACTTTAGTCTTTGGAGAAAGATTTGTGCTATAAGTATAATTAACACTAGCATCATTATCATTATCGTGTTTTAAAATTATCCGAAGCTCCGAGGCCGAATAATAAAATTAATTTAAAATCAAATTTTCATATTCGTTCAATAAGAGATGCCTCGGAACTTATTACTTTTCTGACAAAGGTAAAAAAAAAAAAAAAACTTTTAAAAACATTTCAATGTCATAAATGATTTAAAACCACTAGTTAGATATTGTTTGGTCGGTGTCACATTTCTATGTTATCATAATCTTTTTTGCCCTACCTTATTTGTCTTGCCTTCTTAGAAAAAAAAGACTGACCAAAAAATATAACTAGAACTGCGCCAAAAGGTTCATTATGGAGTATATTACGTTCAGAAGTTGGTAGTTTTATTTATATTCTCCATACTTTCGCTTTCTGTTGACTCTGTTTTTTTTGTCTTGATCGCCAGACATTGGGTGAACATCAAAAATTCATCCTTTGTCAATTTCTGTGAATATGCAGTAGGGATAAACAAAGAAAAGCACAACGAATACTTCAACTTTAAAATGTTTGAATTGATGAAGTGTGCTTATTATTATTATTACGTGCGCCTTTATTAAAGTAGGAAGACAAGCTTAAAGTTTTTGTGGTTTGGCACGTGCCCCTTCTGCCCAAACTCCCTTCACATTTGATTCTTCAATATTTGCAATGGGGCATTGCCATCTCCAAGATCTGTGAATATTTTATTTGCCAATTTTTGGTCGAATAAAACGTCGTAAAAGGACTGACCTATCTTCGTTTCACCTGGGAGAAGCGAAACAGCAAATAAATTCGACAATTCGTGACGAAATCCAGAAATCTACTACATTAAAAGTTATCGGCGCATGCATTAGTGCTAATTATAATTGAGTATGTCTTGAAAATGTTGTTGATCGCTAAGAACGTAAATCAACAAAATAAAAAATACGCCAAGGGCATATAAACACAAACATACAGTTTTGTCGTTTATTGATAACCGTACCGTGAATATAAAGCTTTTAATCAAACATACACCGTTTTAAATTCGTCAACCAGAAACGTATACACAATTTGGATTATGCTGGGGTTAATATGGAATTGGAAACAAGATAACTTAGCATAAGATTTCTATGTTTATTAATTTACATCAAACTTTAAAAGTTTTATGTCTTAAATATTCATTTTCCCTAAAATGTATGAAAGACGTTTTTTAAATGTGTGCAGATGAAAATGCCGAACATTTTTTTCTCTCTCTCTTTCATTTCCGAAGTGCATCGACTTTGAGCATTCAAACAGATCTGGTGTTATTGTTTTTCCATTTTTGCTTAGCGAAATAACTGCAACTGGACGCCTTTGTTCCAGAAAGCGTTATTCACTGGCGTTATTTGTTGCTTCTTCGTTTTTATTTTTCTGTTCTTCAGCAATAGCTTCCCATTTTTCCAAATTAGCACTGTAAAATGAAAACTTATTTTAGTCATTTACGAATATTTTAAATGAATACATTTATATTTACACACAGTAACTTAGTACAAAAATGCTTTAGAAGACAATATCAACGTTATTAATGTAAAATACTAGTCTTTATACGTATTCTCGTAGGTTTTTGTACATACATCTACGTTTTAACAATTATTTAAAAATAAATAAAATATCGCAAGACTATAAAAAAAAAGTTACATGCATATGCCTGTGAGGCATGAAAGTGTACAATACATGTCTTAAAGATATTTAAACAGAACTATGTTGGTGTACTTTGGTGACAGATTTTCTTGTAGGCAGATTT